GGAGGAACCCTGGTATAGTTAGCAAGAATAATCTCAAGAGCCAATTTGTAAATTGTGCATTCCATGGTCTGTGATAACCTAGCAGTGGTCTTTAAGCATAAACAATTGCAAATTTAACTGCAATATTCACTTATAAATTTAGCTCTATTTGAGTGGCCAAGGCTTTTGCAACTTGCCCTGATAAGGTATCCATTGTGCTAGCAGAAGCCAGCAGCCCTAGCTGTTCTGGCAGCAAAAGCAATGACTACCATTATCATAGGATGGATTGACAGAGGGATAATCCTTGGCACTCGGACTACCACAGACAGCTAGCTCCTCAGGATCCCAGTAACCAGTTGACAAGCCAGTGTCTATTTGATCTCTTGGCTCTGTCCTGTCTTCAGGCTTCTGAACAGGGAAATTCACAGCATGCACAAGATGCTCAGGTACCTATATTAGACTGTCAGCATCCTGTGGGAAAATACAAACAGCCTCTCTTCCCCACACCAGTATGGGATCTGGACCACACCAAGTGCCATCTGCTAGATTCTTCCATTTGACATGAGGCATCCCAGAAGAAACTGGCAACCAATGCCAGTCAGCAATGGTATGAGATTGAGCATCAATAGTCAAAAAATTTTAAATGTATAAAATAAAAGACAAATGGCCTCTAGGAGTGGAATCATATTCCCCCTTTTTTTGTTTTATGTAAATAGGCTTTGAGCATACTATGCACTCACTCCACTATAGCTTGTCTTTGAGGAACATAAGGTATTCCTGTTTTATGAGAAATAGAGAACTCAGAGCAAAATTTAGCAAAGCCAGTGCTGGTATAGGCTGGACCATTGTTAGTTTTTATAGTTTTTGGAACTCCCATATAGGCAAGAGCCTAGAGACAATGACTTCTAACATCCCATAATTTTTCTCCTGTATGGGCTAGGGCAAAAATAGGATGAGAATATGTATCCACAATTACATGAACATATTGCATATGTCCCAAAGAAGGAACGTGGGTAACATCCATTTGCTGTAAATGGTTAGGAGCAAGACCACGAGGATTGACTCCCAAACAGTGGAAAGCTAAAAGTTCTATACAGAGAGCATTTTTTTAACAATATCAGTGGTCTGCTCTCGAGATATCTTAAAATGAAATCTTAAAGACCCAACATTGAGATGAAAATGATTATGAGGTTTTTCTGCAGCTTCATAAGACTCTTACTAACTATATAAATTTGGTGAGTAAGCTGATCAGCCAATGCATTCTCCTTGCTCAGAGGACCAGGAAGGTCAGTATGAGCCTGCGAATGTCCTACGTAAATGGGAACAGATCAGGCCAAAAACAAAGTTTGAATAGCTAATAACTGCATCTGGACTCCAGATACAAAGGCAATATAAACTGCAGTTTCCAAATGTGCAAGAATTTTGCTTATATATTGACTGTCAGTAAAAAAGAAAAATGGAATATCAGCATATTTCTCTAAGGCCATTTGAACAGCGACCAATTCAGCCACCTGAGCAGATTTAGCATTAACAGGCAGAATATCAAAATCAGGAGGGGAGGCCACCACAGCTCTCCCAGTGGAAGGCCCATCAGTAAACACATTCCATGCCTCTGTCAGGGGCTGCAAAGAAATAACTTTAGGGAAGCATACCGGATGATTTTTGCAAAAGGTGATCAACTTATCAGAAGGATAATGATTATGAAACCTGCAAGAATTAGTGCATAAAAAGAAGATCCAATCTTCAGCAAAATTTTGCAGCCAAGTTATTTCTGTCTGAGTTTGTGGTGTAATAACCTTATCAGGTAACATTACAAAAGTGTAAACTAAGTTTATACCCTTTCTGATTAACATGTAGCACAGCTGATGGATACAAGATAACAATTTTTACAGGTGACATATGTTCATGTACCCATAGGATGGGTCCTTGCTGCCAAAAAACTCCAGTAGGACTATGCTGAGAGGGAAAAATTATCAACAGCAATGGCTGTCTATAGTCAATATAATGAATATGAGCAGAGGCAAGCTTTTCTTCAATTAAAGTAATACATTGCCTTGCCTGAGGTTTCAGCTTATGGAAGGAGTTTGGATCAGGATTCTGATGCAGAATGTCAGAAAGTGGTTTTAAGACTCCAGTAGGAGTTCCCAGACTGGGTCAGACCCAATTGAGGTCTCCAAGCATTTTTTTGAAAATCATTCAAAGTGTGTAGTTCATCCAAGCGAAAAGTAACTTTCTGTAGTTTTACTCCTGTCTGCAAGAGCTGATGCCTCAAGAATTAATAAGGAAACTCTTGTTATACCTTTTCAGAGGCAATCATCAATCCAGCATATGCTAGGCATTCTTGCAAGTCCGCAAAAGCCTACAGAACTATATCTGGGTCCTGTCCAGCTAATAGGATATCATCCATATAATGAATGATATACAGTTGAGAATATTTATACCTTATCAGGACAATACCTTGGGCCACAAACATTTGGGAGATGATAGGACTATTGGCCATACCCTGGGGTAATGTTACCCATTGGTAGCATCTATATGGTTCTTTGAAATTTATAGACAGTTCACTGAAAGCAAATTTATCAAAGTCATTTGGGTGCAAAGAAATGGTGAAAAAGCAATCCTTCAGGTCAATAACTAAAAGATGGTATCCTGTAGGAATGCCCACAGGCTGAGGCACCCCAGGTTGAATTGTCCCCATAATTTACATACAATCATTTACTGCTCTTAGATCTTGCAGCAGCCTCCATTTATCAGAGTTTTTCTTAATAACAAAGATAGGAGTGTTCCAGGGAGAAGTGGATGACACTATGCATCCTGCCTCTAGCTGTTCCTGGACCAGGGTATGAGCAGCCTGTAATTTTTCCTTACTTAGGGGCCACTGCTCTATCCAGACAGGTTTTTCAGTTTTCCATTTTATGGGAATGCTTTCTCGCTGCTCTGCAGTGGCCCCTAAGAAAAATTTTCTAACCCTGCATGCTGTCTGGGTAACTGCTGTATTATTTTATTGTCTGCTAAAATTTGCATATCTCCCTGCAGATTTTTGCTCAACCACCAACCAGGGACAAAGCCCTGGTTTGTTAACATGCACTACACAGGTTCAGTGGTCAGAACTGCTCCCATAGCTTGCAAAATATCTCCTCCCCACAAATTGAGAGGGAGGTGTTCCAGAACAAATGGGCTTCTTCATCCTTCCAAACTAAATATTGGGTACTGCACTCTGGAGAACTGACCAATCCTACCCCCCATGTAACGCTGTAGAGGCTGGCTGTAGAGGACAGACTGTGGTCCAGGGTTTTCTAGCAATCACAGAACTATCAGCCCTATATCTGGAAGGCCTTGGAACTTTTTCCCATTGATTGTTAATGTAAGTGTTGGGTGGTTCTCTAAACCCAAAAAGCTCCAGGGGATCCCATGGAGCCAAACCCCTTATCCCCTCATTCTTGTTTAAAAAATGTATTAGTAGAGCAAAACACGGGCAAAATAGGGCAAAAATACTAGTTGAACACTTCTCGCTCCTTGAAGAATAACAAGGACTCCCATACCATCTTCAATCATAATTTTAATTTCTCCAGTATAATCACAGTCTATAATTCTTGGTATAATTTTAATTCCTTTAAGCAACAGAACTACTTCTACCCAAGACTACAATATTGAATCTTCTGGAATAGGTCTATATACTCCAGTCCCCAAGGCCTGCACACCCATTTGTGGGATCAATAATGCCCAGGCAGAGGTACAGAGGTCTAGTCTTGCACTTCTTGGGGTGCCTAGGACAAGGTAATAAGCAGTGAGGTGTTTCTTTGAGGAATGAATCTGATGGGAACAACTGGTCTGCTTATGCCCCCCCTCCCCCGTACAAATGTGTTTGGGGAGCCCAGGCAGGCCCCTTTTCCCTTTTCCTGACACAAGGATGAAATTTCCTTGAATGTCAGTATTAGAGTGACAGTCATTAGCCCAATTAACCCCCTTTAGACATTTTGTGCAAACATCTGGATTTCCCCTGGGCTGATTAACTGCCCACAGGGGAATTTCTCTTAATGTGTCCCGACTTTCTGCACTGAAAACAATTCCTTGACCTAGCTCTGCCTTTACTCTCCCTAGGGGCAGAAACAATTACCTGATCCATCACATGAGTGCCATCAATGTCCCTTCATAACTGGATAAAGTCATTTAAACTCCAATCTATGGGGGTGCATAGCCTCTTAACAGTATTTGTTAGCATTTTCATAGATCAATTGCTTTATGACTGGCATATGAGTCCACATCCTCAAAAATGCGACTTCTCAGCTGCAACATGTGGTCAACAAACTCAGAATAAGATTCTGAAGGTCCTTGAAGGACCTTAGAGAGTTGTTATCCTGCTCCTTTGTTGGGTAAAGCTTTCCAAGCCTTAATGGCAGCTCTCTGAGCATAAACAGTAGGGTTATAAGTAATCTGTGCTGCTAAGTCAGCATATTGTCCTGTACCAGTTAACATGTCAAGGTTATGCTGGTGGAAACCCGCAGTGGTATTACGCAGTGCAGTCCTTTTGCAATTTCCTGCATTTTGCCTCTCCTTAACAAATAATCTCCCCTCAAAAGACAAGTTGTAATGGTGGTTCTGTCTCTTTAAGAGACAAGCTGCACCCACTCCCTCCCCCATCTGCGGAGGCAGGCTGATCTTCAGCTTTCAGCCTGAGCTCACTCTCTTTTCCATCTTCCTCTCGGAGAGGCAGCCTTGCTTCTGCCTCTCTCCGCACTTCTCCGCCTCCCCCTTTCTCTGACTCTTTCTCCTCTTCTCTCTCTCTCTCTCTCTCTCTGTGTGTGTGTGTGTGTGTGTATGTGTGCCCCTCCCTTATCCCTTCCCTCTCCATACCCCCTGAATAAATATTCAAACTCACTCTGCATGTCGTGTCTATCCATGTCTCTGTCTCCTGCCTGCCCGCCATGTGTCTCCCTGCCTGGGACTGGCTGCTCCCAGGGCCCGCTGCCTGCCACCACATGGCCTGCTACCACCATTTGGGACCTTCAGCATTTCTTGCAAGGGATCTTGCAACATTTTTTTTAAAAAAAAATCATAAAACAAGCCCTGCACAGCTGCATCCAGTCACTGGGTCTAAGGGTGAGTTCTGCAAAGGATTCCATTAAAGCCACAGTGAAGGGGGTATGAGTTCCATATGCCATAACTACTTCTTTTAGTTGCTTAGTGTCCTTAAAGGCCAGAGGGTTATGCTGCCTGATCCTCTCCTTGCGGATCAATAACTTCCACAATGGGATAAATTTGCCTTTTTCTACTCGGATTATTTAGCACATTTTGGATCTCTTGAATTTCCACCTCTAAGTCTTTAGGGGCCAAATAAGCAACAAAAGTATCTGAGGTTGCAAGGAATTGATTTTGCGGGGGAGGTCTTGTGGAGAAATCTCTGTTTGCTCCTTTCCTTTCTTCTTTTTCTAACTTCTTTTTTATCAGTGCAATCTCCTTTTATAAAATTTCTTCTTCCCCTTCTATATCCCTCTTAGTACTTTCAGTTTGCTCCTCCTCAAAACTCTTAATAGAACTCACAGATTCTACATTCTGAATCTCCTCGAAGTTTTTGTTCAAATTTTCTTATTGCTCTTTTACTTTTACATCATCCCTGAGAGGAACATCTCTGACTAAGCACCATAGTGAAAATATCGCTATGGGAAATTCTTCTGTTTCTTATTCTTTCAATGCTTTTTGAAGGTCAGCCTTTACCAGTTCCTGATCAGTAATATTAAAGGCCCCTGCATGTAGAAACCAGGGACTAAACTCTTAATGATCTCTTATGCTTTCTCAGTTTTAATACCAGTGCCTTGTTTCTCTAAAAGAACTAACAATTGGCCTGTTAATTGGCCCTTTAACAGTGGAACAGAATTACTTGCACCCATTTTCAATTCACTCTCACCAATCAATTTCTTACCTGCTGGCCAGCATCTGAGGGCGATCTCTCAGGGGTTCCTTACTTCCCAATCTTGCTGATGGGCCTCCAACTCTAACTCCTGATCTTGCTGGGGCCTCCAACTGTAACACTTGTGTTACTCTCTTGGTACAATTTGTGTGCCACTGTCATACACAAGCCAGGCAAGAGTCTGCAGATTGAAAGAACACACAAGAGACATGGGTCATTCAAAAGGAGATCAGCCGAATGCCGTTTATTCAGTTTGTTCAAATACTTAGCTGCTACACAGTGGAATACCCCTCAAACAGGTGGGAAATTACCATGCCCCAAGGTGGAGTCAACAACCAACAATGCCCTATAGCTAACCCGCAGGCGATGCAGAGGGAGCACAGGAACAAACAGGATGTTTTAGCTGGCTGACCAGAAACTTTCCTCAAGATGAAACCCAGGAGCAGGGGTAGAGCCATGGGCCTTACAATTTAGAATTATCTTATCATTGTAAGACAGCATGGGATGGTCACAGTGGCAAAGGTTTATATTAGGTGACTATTAGATTTATGTTATGGTACCATAATGAGCAGATTCTAGTTATTACCCAGAGACAACTACTGGCTATGTGAATTTCATACTTGTTGGGCACTGAGTACAGGGTCAGCTAATAAATCTAGTTCCTTAAAACTATGTCAGTCAATGTTCAGTGATATGTTCAGGGCTGTATTCAGGCCATAGATTTTTGTTTACTATTCTACCTATTTTCAACATGAATTTCCAACTAGTATCCACATTCCCTATTACATTTAATTACACAATCAGGAAGCTAAGAATTCAAGGCTTGAACAAGTAGTACTTGTACAGAAAACAGGTGGATTGTCATCAAGGAGAGGCATAAAGCCCTCAGGTCAGTGAATAATCAAAATGAAAGAAAACTATCTCTCCCTACTCCCAAAGATCACCAGGAAAGAAAGATCCATGGCATGATATGGTAGTATTTAGAAGCAAAGCCAGCGACTAAAATAATATTTTCTTTTTACTTCAGGAGACATCTGAGCTGTTTTGAGCAGGCCAGGCATAGGCTGAGAAGGTGGCTAAAGTGGAAAAGTAGTATCATAAAGAGTAGATCAGTGAAACTAGACACTGCACATCCTTCTTGATAATAGAAATCAAGACCCTATAATGAGAATCAGAACATGGGTTTAGAATAAAGTCATCTGACTCAAGAGTCCTAGCATTTGACAACTTCAGATTATCCATACCTTACAAGAGAGTGGGACCTTCAAACTAATTAGTTCTGTGTTGTTTCTAGGGTGAGTTCTAAAAATGATTCCTCCATACCATTGTAAGCTACTTTTTACTTAAGCTTGGTGGGTACCTGTGTTGTTCCTATATATATATATATATATATATATATATATAAAATGCATGGGGTTTAAAATATTTATATGGGTAAGTACATAGTCTACAGAAGCATTTGATGAGAATGTACTTAGAGTGAAGAAGGGAAACATATGGACATGGTACCCACAGAGTTATATCTGCCGTTTGCCAGATACAGATAAATAGACACTGATCATGCTCTACCATTTTTCATTTCTGAGATAACACATCTTGTTCCTTTCAGAGCCCACAGGCAGGTACAGGTACTTGTTCCAAACTATACCCCAGAACTGTGGCAATTAATCTTTGAGGCATAAACATTGATTTTCTTGAAATCTCTAAGGAAGAACAAGGACAAACTATGAAGAGTCTTGTGATTATGGATAAAGAATAAACCCCATCAGGGGATCCAACATTTATAAAAGGTTTTGTACACAGAAACCACTCATTTCCTCCTAAACAACTCAAGCACTCTACACTGAAACTCTTTGCCTTTGCCATATTGGAACTCAGAGAAAGCTTGGTATTGCCTTCTTTTTGGTACATCTGAAAAGTTCAAGACTGCTTTGGAGTTTGCCTACAGAGGCTAAAATCAGATTGGAACATGGTTTCCATTCACCCACATGTGTGTTGCGCTGGACTGAGAAGTCAGGAATGTGAGCCAGAGCAGATGTTGATCTTCTTCAAAGCTCCAGAACGCAAGGGGATATATGACTAACGTAACAGGATATATAAATATGTTGAAGATGCAACATAGTTATGGATATTAAATTAGTAACCCCGAGTCTGTGTGTGCACATGGTCCTTAATGTGTATTATGATGACTAAACATTTCTTTACCATGTTTTTTTTTTGGGGGAGGGGTTTCAAGACAGTTTCTTTGTAGTTTTGGAGCCTGTTCTGGAACTAGCTCTTGTAGACCATGCTGGCCTTGAACTCACAGAGATCTGCCTGCCTCTACCTCTCTAGTGCTGGGATTAAAGGCATTGCCACCACTGCCTGGCAATGACTAAACTTTTCTATAGGAACATGTCTCATATATTCTTTCCTGATTTCTCTCTGATCATCACACTACTCCTCAATATAGTCTTTAATAATTCCCAGGGTATATTCCTTGGTTTTCTGAAATCTACAACTGGAAACTCTCCTTCATCTCTTTTACATTGGCAGTGCACAGTGTGATGTAATTACATTACATGGTACGTATTCTAATATATATATGAAGAAGAGGGATCAGAAGCTATTCCTAAAACCCACATTTGGAGATTCATCTTCATCTATTTGTATTGACAATGCAAAGGGTTAGAAATTATGGTATAGGGTATATATTCTAGAAGATATAGAGGAGGAATAAATGTATATGAAACTCTAATAGAAGATATTATAGAAGAACAATCAATTTTCAATAAAATAAAAATGGGAAAGAGACAGAATCAGAACAATTTTAGTGATATCTTTTCTTTTCAGACAATGGATGTTGGTCAGTTGGGGCTGAAGAGTGAGTTGTGATGAAGAAAAAAAATCAACATAATTAAGGTTAAGTATTCTAGTAGGTGTTTCCTGAGAAGTTACAGTCAAGATTATACCCTGTGTTAGCATCCAAATTTGGTAACGTAAGAGTTACTCAGATGGTGTGGTGTTTAAAAGTATAAAAAAATCAATAAGAGTAGCTGGCACTCTGTGGCAAAGCTGATGTCCTTGTCACTGAAACTAGAGTTCTCTGTGTGTGCTAACCAGGTTATTCTTACTTTGACGCATACTGTAGTCATTGGAGAGTTTGGAACTTCAATTTTAAAAATGCCTCTATAAGATCTGCCTGTAGATAAGCATTTTGTAAGAATTTTTAAAATTAATTATTTATAGATAGAGCCCAGTTCATTGTTGGTGGTGCCATCTATGGACTGGTGGCCTTAATTTCCTTAAAAGTGCCGGGTAGGAAAAACCAGGTGAGCTAGGCAGTTAATACCACCTCTCCATAGGCTATTCATCAGTCACTAACTACATGATTTTGCTCTCTTTTTGGATTTCTGCCGTGATATTTTCCAATGATGTACTATTATGTACATATGAAATAAAGCCTTTTTTCCCCAATTTGATTTTGGCGGTGAAATTTCATTACAGCAGTAACATTCCTAAGAAAATGTATAAGGAAATATATTCTAATACATGTGAGCAAAGTATAGAGGCCAAATGAGCAGAATCAATGGATTACAATTTCTCTACTTCTAACCTTCTGCTAAGATGCAGAGCTAGGTCTGAGGAATGGAACCATGACATATTTCTGACATTTTATTAGGACAGAATGAAATACCTGGAAATAAATGTGGTGAATAATCACAAGTCACGACATATTTAATTATACTGAACGTATTTTCAATACTGATCAAATATGTGTTAGTACTTCACTTTTATCTAATGATGAAAAAATAAATCCTCAACAACATTACTTAAAGATCTCTTCCTATAACAGGTTTTTCATATTTATACACAGACCTATATACAAAAATGGGATTTGTAAAATCATTTATGTGATTATCTGAGGTGATAAAATGGAGAATATATAGTAAATCAACATGTGTGTCTTCACTTCCATTGAAATCAGAGTATGTGAGAGATTCCTTCCCTCATTTCTATGGTTTTCCCACAATATTATCTGCCACACTAGTTTCCATAGAACCTGAATAGTAAGGGTGCATGTATTTACTCCCAGCCCTAGAGAGAAATATATGACAGGAGGGGACAGCTCTCAGATACAGTCTCATTCTGAGATTACTGGAGGCAGGATTGCCATTTCAGACCAAGGTAGAGGTAAGAGTCAGTGGCTGGATGTTTTGCTTTGCTGACCTTCATATTGAACCCGAATATCTGTCTCTGGGTTTTTTCACCTGAATTGCAGACTTCCCATTTTAGAGAAACAATGTTGAGATCTTAGCAATATACTGCTTTAAGAGAGCTAAATATTAATATGAGTTTAAAGTTAAAATTTCCAGAAATTAATTAAAATTATATTAAATTAAATTATAAAGTCATCCTAATGGAAAATGAGATCCATATTGAAGGTTGCCCAATGAGTATCGCAGCAACTACAGGTCATGTTGAGGAGAACAGCAACTCCTGTTAAGTACAATAAGACCCCCAGAAAACTTGCTACCTTTCTCTGAACCCATGATGAAAGGGAAGCAGAATTTCTTCAAAAATGTATATGCATGATAAAAAGGATGTGATCCCGCTCTGCTCACCTCCTCTTCTGCACCTATTTACGTAATTATCATCCATATGAATATCAATATCTAATTATAACTTAAATGTTCCCTGATGTGTTATCAATCTGCCATTCCATTAACTTCAAGGCATGTGAGTTTCCTTCTCTGAGGTCTGTAAGTGATAAAATATGTTCATTGTTGTTTGTGTTTTGAGTTGTTGCTAATGTGTGCCACTTGACAATTATCCTGAACCTAAAATCTCACCCTCTTAAAATATTCCATAAGAAAGGAAACACAAAGAAAATAAATTTTACATAGGATCATGGTGTCCAATCTTTTGGTCTTAACCCTTTCAGGGGCAAAACACTCTTCCACAAGGGTCACCGAAGATCACAGGGAAACACAGATATTGACATTATAATCTCTGTAGTATCAGAATTACAGTTATGCAGTGGCAACACAAACAGTTTTATGACTGGTGGTCACCACAGCATAAGGAACTGTATTAAAGTCTCGCTGCATTAGGAAGGTAGAGAACAACTGACATAAGGTGTATATATTCACAGGATAATTTGTAAGAAATACAATTGAAAGTGATTCATGATTTCAAGTAGCAACCCAAAGTAATTTAACTTCATTAAATTACAAGACTTACCTCATTGAAGTGACAGGTGAAAACAGGTGCTGATTGATACATGTTTGATGCAAAAGGAAGATTACAAGTCTAAATCATCAGCCCTGGAAAGAAAGATAAAAACAAAATTATGTGGACAGAATAGCTTGTGTGTGTGTGTGTGTGTGTATGTGTGTGTGTGTGTGTGTGTGTGTGTAATTACATGTATGCATTATCAACTAGTGAGAAATAGATCAGGAATATGAAAGAGTGTGAATTTATAATTGGAAGTGTATGCCTTCATTTCTTAAAAATAACTTCTTTAATTAAAAGATAAAATATTGGGTGTTTGTAAAAATTCATTCTCCATAACATAATCTAATATCTCCCCATGTCTATAATCACTATCTATGCTAACTTTGACAACTCTCTTCTTTGTGAATATGTGCATGTGCACACATGTAATGTGCTGCATGAGTCTGTGCCTGTGTGTGTATAAACATTCACTTTGGTGTGAGATGTGAACCCAAGTGTGCATGTAGGTAACACAGAGAAGACAAACTCTACTACTGTTTCTCTGGTGACTTCATTTATTAAAAATATTTTATTCAATATAAATACATAAATATTATATATTTATAATAATCCACCTTTCATACCCTAAGTGAAGAATACTCCCCAATTCTGTGACACTATTCTGTACTAATTTTGACAACTCTGTATTCTCATTTGGGGAGGGCTGTGTGTGGTGAGGCATTCATGTGTTTGTGCACAAACATGTGTGTGTATGTGTTCATGCACATTTGTGTGTGTGCCTGTGTGTATATGTAGTAATTTATTTCATTTATTATTATTTTTGAGACTATAATTTAGCAACATTTCTCCCTTCTCTTTGCTATTTCAAACCATCCCATATACCACTGTACATTCTCCTTCATATTTGGGACTTCATTTTTTAATAATTGTTATATATATATATATATATTACACAAATAAGTATTTATTGTTAAATATAATCTGATAACTCTGTTAACAATACTGCACATATGTTTTCAAAGCAAGCCTTTTAGTACTAGATAACAAAACTGTATGCCCTTCCCTGAGAATGACATCTCCCTCACCCAGATTTCCTCAGTGGCATGCAGTGCTTTGTGTAGATTTGAGTTCTTCTGGACTTTCCTTTGTTGATTTGGCATGTTCATTTGTGTTATCATTATTCACAGGACTGTCTATTCTATGTAAACCTCCAGTCACCTTTTACCACATCTCTGAAATTTCATGAGTTTAAATGAAAGCTAATACCTAGAAACCTAAAAGTTTCAGTACTTTCCCAAAAGTTAGAAAGTAAAAGAAACAAGTGGATGCAACTTCACTGAACATTTGCTGACCATTATCCTCAGGGAAATTAGTGGAGAAAATGAGCAGTGGGTGTTTCTATAGCAAGAAATATTAACTACTTCTAGATGGAAATAACAGTGTGCTTTCTACAGAAATAATAAGACAGGCATAAAATGTATGGATTAAAACATGGTCAGGAAACATGCCAGTACACTAAAATATAAAAATTTATTTTTTTTCACAGAAAACAATGAATAATGAAAATACAAGGCAGAAAGCCTCTCAAATTACAGTACCACCAGCTAGGCGTGTGATCTGTGTCTTCATCAAAAGCCTCTCGGGAGAAGGCAGAGAAGGATCTTCTCAGTGCCTGAGTCTGAGATCATCTTCAGCAGGATGATGAATTTATGTGTCTACATCATGGAAGGAAAGGAGAAAATGTTTAGAACAACAAATAAATAATTTTAAATAAGTATAATTAAGAAGAAAATAATTTTTGTATCATTAATAATGACAAAACAATGTTTAAAAAGGACTAAAATACTAGATAAGATGTATTAATATTATTATAAATGCAATATTCACAAGTGATGTGGATTTGGGTACAGTGCAATTCCATGTGTCAATATTTGTCATCCATTTATCTTAATGATAAACTAAATCTAAAAATTTCTACAGAACCATACAGACACATATATAAATACAAAATTATTTGACATAAGTTGAAGGCTCTAATATGTCACTTAGTAATTATCATTTAAATCATCTTAAAAATGCCAAAAGTTATACTAGGCAAAATGTTTCTTAAAAGTTCTAGGACAAGTGTGTATGTGTATGTGAACAAGTAATGAAAGGAACCCATGGACTTCCTGCCACCACACAAGGGTCAGAGAGAGACTGCTGTGCCTGCTTCCTGACCCTCTAATGTTATGATGCAGTCTGAGAAAGGAAGGAAGATTGTGTGATGGTTGGACATTTATAGCTTCTTGGTGGACCTATTCTACAAACTTCCAGACCACAATGAGTGCTGATTACTTAGGAGCCTGCCCAAGAATGCTGACTGAGTGTTTGGACCTTCATCCCTAGTATGTCTTGGGACACAGAACTCATTTTACCAGTAAGAGGTTCAATCTCCTCTTTCTGTATTGAATTTTCCAACTATTCAAGCACGGGTCTAGCAGCACCTGTGAGGTGTCTGGTGGAATCTGAGTCACTGCTCCCCTTAAAAAATTTTCTTTAGTGCCATAAGGTCTCCATGGAGAATTTAGATAAGCTCTTAGCCACTAACTATTTCCTATCAATCTCTGAAAATCATTCGGAGTCTGTAAACTATCCTTCCTCATTGCCAGTTCCTGAGACTTAATATTTTTAGGATATAACATACATCCTAAATACTGGAATGGTGGTTGTTTTTGTATTTTCTCTGGGTCAATAACTAACTCTGCTTGGATAAGACTCTACTGGAGTTGTCCATATCTCTCAAGCAAAACTCCTTTATTTTAAGGACAAGCAAGACATCATCCATATAAATAATAATATAACCTTGTGAAAATTGATCTATGACATTTCATATAGCCTGAGCCACTGGTTCAGGTATAACATAATTGCTGGCATAATGTAACAATGTTTGCCATATCTTGAAGCAAGATGATCCAATGAAATCTTCTCATTGGTTCTTTGAAATTGACTGATGGAATACTAAATGCAAATCTTTGACAATCTGGTGTTGTCAACGGGTTAGTATAAAAAAGTATCCTTTAAATCTAAATTAATCTTATAGGTGTCTTTTGGTATGGATGTAGGAGAAGACAACAAAGGCTGTAACACTCCTATTAGCTGCATGGTCTCATTAATCTCTCTTAAATCTTGTATTTATCTCCACATTCCTAATTTCTTGTTAATCACAAAAATAGAAGAATTCCATGGTTAATTAGAGGGTATAATGTGACCATTGTCCAGTTGTTCCTGCACTAACTGCTGGGAAGCTTTTAATTTTTCTTTTTTTAGAGGCCACTGATTTACCCATACAGTCTCGTCCCTTTTAAAAAAATTGAGTCTGCATGGAGTGCAGGATTTTCAAAATGCCATGTAGTGGCTGAAAAAAAAAGGACGCTGGAAATTATTGATAGGCCACAGCCTTGTGATAATACAAAGATTAGTAGAAATGGGTTATTTTAAGATGTAATAGCTATATAGGAATACACTTGAGTCATTAGCCAAGCACTGTTGTAATTAATATGTTTTCTGTGTTATTATTTGGATCTGGGTGATGAGAAAATGAATGAGCAGTCTTTATTTACATCCATGAACAAGTATCATTCTATTCCCGAAATATCCACTGAAATTAATGATGAAAAATCAGTACTTCATGAATACATAAGCTGGAATAAAGCCTACTCTATTACTACACAAAAGTAAATAAATTCTAATGTACACTGGAAAAATGAAACAGTACTGCAAATTATTTGGTAAAACTTAAAGACTGTGTTTCATGCTACCTCATTCAATCTGTTTGGTTTACTCTTAGGAATAGGGAATACACAGATTACCTGTTCTTTATTCAAAACGGAATATGAGGCATCCTGATAATCTTGAATGGGTCTGACCTGACTCTGCTACTAACTTAACTCTTGGACTTGGAAACAGAATAGTAGTTGGTATTTTCTGATAAACCTAATTCATGAAAAACATATGCTCTTAACAATGAATGTTGGTTAAAGCTAGAGAGGTTGCTCTATATCTTATTCTCAAGGAGGATGGCAGCAAATGCACGTATCTGACAATATGGTTTCTGAAACGTTCTGTACATGGGACTCCTGGGGCGCTATCCAGTGTTATAGCAATTCAGGCATTCCATGCTTATCAATAAGACCTAACTCCAATCTAATTGTGAGAGAATCACTGTATCCTTTAGGCCCCTGATAACAGAAAAGGGCAGGTTTGGATTTATATGTAGTTTTGAATATATTATTGGTCCCTTTGATGCTATTTCCCTCTGTGACGCGGGTGACAGTATGTGTGCTTATGTATTGCTTGCTTAATCAGAAGCAAAAATTCATAATATTATCTTTATAATATGAGATGAAGTACCCATATAAATGAAGAAATATAAGTGAACACAATTATCTGATTGTTATCAAACTCTAGTAAAACTTAAAACTAAGTAAACACACTCATTTCTCTTGTTGTGAATGATGTCTTGATTACCCTAGAGGCAAGATGGGACTTCTAAATTCTAAATATGAAAAGCAGAAGCACCCAAAACTTATTGAACGGAACACAGAAGTGAGAAAGTTGGTCTGGCTCTTATATCTATCACATCACATTTAAGAACATAAAACCAATCAAGTTTCTCATTCAAAATAGGAATATTGTATGGAGAAAATTACACCATTATACCAAGTGAGGAGGTTTTAGGGATAACCTTTGAGTTTGAGGTATACTTCATAGGCTTCATAAAATGTACTATGACATCTTATGTTCTACAAAGAAAGGGGTGTGAACAATATGTGCAGCATAATCTGGCAGTCCTTTCCAGTGTCTTAATCTGTGTTTTTTCCAACTCAAACAAGAAATGATCATCCTTCTTTGGCAATTTTACATTACTAAATGTGCATGGTCTATATTTATTCACATACTATAGATTTTCCCATTTGTATGGAACAAGTTCTAACATGTTAATTGCTTAAATCTGTTATAATGTTGGTGTTTTCCTGCTCATGCACTTTATTAGTAACCAGTGATAAAATAAAGGTGTGATGTGGAAGGAGCAAAGAGAAAAGGGGTTCTATGGGAAGGAGTTATGTTCCTGATCAGGAAAATCACTGAGCTGGATTAGGTATGATGGATAATCGTGTGGGCTACACTAGTTTTCCGTTTGAACATATTCAGCATCTCTGGAATATTATATATGTATATCTGAAAGGTGATGCCACTAAATAAAATCTACTTTAAATATATTGCGATGTTATTTTAGTTTCACATAGCATCAAGGTGGGAGAGAGAGAATTTTATAGATATTTAGGGTTTTTTTTAACTCAATTCAAGCATGATTATGTTAATGCCAGCAACCATTGTGGACAGTCCTAAGAATCTAAAACTTAAATTCCATGATTTCCAGGATTTTTATCAATTTCCCTCTTGCTATCATTTTCCCCAATTTTTTTCACTAGCAGGATGTCTCGTTGTACTCAATGCCAGTTACGGAACTTTATTTTCCACAAAAAAAAAAACAAGTGCATTGATTGCACAACTGCTCACCTGTATTATTCTCACCCCACAAAAGAAAACTTATCTTTTGATCAAGGTTGAGGAGAGTAATTAAAACTCAGTTAGTCTGTGTCCCCTTCTAAATTCATCTTATTGTTGCACTGTCTCATTTCCTGAATACTCAGGAAAATTTCCTTCATGAATAATGGTAATTCTGTGAAAAGTTTGAGCAACTTTTCTTACCTTGGAGTTGATTTGATAATAAATAGTTAAAACTGTAAAAAGGATGAATACTACAAATCCACATTCCTAATTACACTGAAGTGGAAAGAATATGAGATAATGAACAAAATAGTACTCTCTAGCATGTAGAAAATATGACATATGTGTATAAAAGCAGCAAATATGCAGGTCATTAAAGGACAGCACTTCAGCATGTTGAATATTAACCAGAAACATTAACTCTTGCCATCTCCATCTCACACTGTCCTGGATGGTTTCCTCAAGGCAGTTTGTGGAAAAATAAATACTACACATTTCTTGTTCTTAGATGTCTGGTCCTCAAATAAGATTTTTACAATTTTTGAAAAAAGGCATTATGTTATATAAAGTAAAGCACTCAGTAATCTAAAAAGTATACTTAAGTCAAATAACCAGCAAATTCCAAAACAAAAAGTAGATATACTTCAATCTAATTATTTACATGAATAATCAACAATCCCAAATGAAAACAGGAAGTATGTGGTTTTACAATACCATAAACTCAGAGACTATCTCCTCCATTGTCAACTTCTTGGGTTGCAGGGAAGAAGTATGCCTTTACTGCTTGAAGTGGAACCTTACTGAAGAGCACAGTCAAATACTGTATGAGAAATAAAGGACATAAGTTAAAGGAAAAACACAGCAAAAAAAAAATGACAGCTTGAATTTCCAGGAAAATGGATGGAGCTAGAAAACATTATTTTAAGTGAGGTAACCGAGACACAGAAACACAATTATTACATGTACTCACTCATAGGTGGTTTTTAAACATAAAACAAAGAATGCCAGCCTACAAACCACAATACCGTAGAACTTAAACAACAATGTGGACACTAAGAGAGACTTACATGGATATAATCTACATGGGTATTAGAAAGTAGAAAAAGACAAGATCTCCTGAGTAAATTGGGAGCATGAGGAACTTGGGGCAGGACTGAAGGGGGAAGGGGAAAGGCAGGGAGAGGAGCAGAGAAAAATGTTGAGCTAAATATCAATAAAAATGTACAAAACATATGGATAAACAGATATGAGTATTCTGAAATCTATAAACATGTATTTAAGATTATTAATAACATGAATTTATATTTTAAATATAACATTTCATTGACCTTAAAGTCAATAATTTTTAAATCTATTTAGAGACTAAAAGTATCCTACACACAGTGAAGATATATTACTTTGTGGTCTAGCGGCAAACTCATTTAAAATTCATAAGAAACTGCCATAAGATAGCCAAGATTGACATAACTTTCAGAGACAAGAGTAAAGACAGGGGACTTGAATTTTCACTAATATTTCTAAACTTAGGACAAAATAGTTATCATGAATCATTTCCATATGGTATATAGTTAAATATAGAATAATGAAATGAAATCAGGTGCAGCAAATGGACATTTGAATATATTTGTATGTGTGTGTGTGTTTGTGTAAGGGTTCTGCAATATGTGCACAGTTGTACAGAGACAATAAAAGCATCAAAGCTCCTCCTCCATCCAATTTTACCTTATTTTTGTTGAGACAGAGTCTGTCACAGATCCTAGAGCTCAACAGCATGTTAGACTGTTAGACCAATTCTGGCAATATAATGGGATTGTGTGTGTGTGTGTGTGTGTGTGTGTGTGTGTGTGTGTGTGTCTGTGTCTGTGTGTGTCTGTGTCTGTGTCTGTGTGTGAAAAAATCACTGAATTTCAAAAACTTCTGATGTTTGCAGATGATACAGTCATTTTCAAAACCAAGGGGACAATGGAAACAAAATAAAAATTGAGTTCCTCTCCCAACAACACATAAAGTATATTGAAATTTTCCATATAACAATACATATCTAGATATTAATACGTAACAAAGACAGTAATTCATTATGTATTAATTATTGTCTCATTAATAAAATAATTGGTAATATGGAGACAGAAATGTCTGAAAATTATTAAAATAAACAAAACTATGTATTTTGTAAGATGAATTATATGCTTAAACAGTATCAGGCCTGGTGACAGTAATAGAGGACTTGCTGGAACAATAATTGCCAATGAGTTAAGGTGATGGGAGAAGACCCAGAATAAGAAAAAGCAGTGTGCATACAAGCCCCATGTGTACATCACAACCTATCTCTTAAAACCCCTCACCCTTCCAGTTCACTTTCCGAGTATGATATCTCTTATGAATCATAAATAATAGTAAAGTGATACCGAAAAAACAGAAACGACCATATTATAATAGACAAAAACAAAGTAAAAAGACAAAATCCAAAACAGATCCTGATATACCGAAAGAAAAAAATAGGTCAATCAAGAGATTCAGGTATTTTTAAGCATAATATTGGATCCGAAAGTATAAAATATTCCACATCTCTAAATTTAAAAGATAAATATGAGAAGTATATACATATTACAACTTGTCATTTCTACAAAGTGGTTCTATGAGGATTCAAGAGGTAAAATTAGAAAACAAATAAGTATAAACACTAAGGTTTGTCAAAATGACAAGGAATCAATATTTTACATTCTCTCAAAATTATCTAATACATATAAATTATGTAGATAGATAATAGGAAATTGCACACATTTTGGAAGATGATCGGCCTGAGAAGGGCCATGACTACCTAAGAAGAACATCAAGTCATCAGGAGAAAACTCCATTCAAATGTTGGTAAGGGGACCCCATGAGACTACTAAAATAGTCTTCTGTTAGTGGTGACCTTGGTTGCTTTAAAAGAGTGGAAGTTAAGTCCCTATTGCTGAAACACTGAGTTTTTGCGATAGAACTATAAAAATTTGAACAGGAACTACATAAAACTCTGGGCTTGACGATTAACTATCAGAGACCAGAAAGTGTTAGAAAAGCTGTCAAGGAAGAAAAGGATTGAAATGTCCAATTTAGTTATGATACCTTTGATTGACAATGACCAGCAAGGCTAGATTTGACTAAAGGTGCAATACTGGCTCTTATATCTAATCAATAACAAATATCACCTAATTGAGCTCAATTCATTTTTAAAAAGAGGTAAAGCACGTTGAATATTGCAAATCACAAGCATTACAGGGTTAGTGAGTCCATGCAACTTAGAGGCCATTACCACAACTTTCATAAAATGTTATAATATCTAACAGCATTAGCATTTTGGTTGTTATATCCACAAGAAGTTGGAGCTAGAAATCAACAGGTTATATTTATACACTAGTGTATGTGTGTGCATAAATAGATTTGTGTGTGTAATAAATAACAAAAATAATAAATTAGGAGGTAATGAATTTGAGAGTTGGGTGAGGACTACACAGTAAGAGTTTGAGAGATAGTGATGTGGAAATTATGTAAATACACAAGTTATTATTAAATTATTGTATTTTAAATATAAAAGGGAAGTATATAACAGAGTGAGTTAAGATGTTTCAGTGGAGAAGTAGAACAGGACAGGAGATTTGGAATGAAAATGACCAAAACTCATATAAATGTATGAAAACTTTCTATTTATTAAGAAAGATGAATCCAAGAAAAAGAAAATATTCAACGGTCATGCACTGAACTTAAATTTTACAAATATAAATGGTAGTAATTCCTACAATCCTCAAAGGTTCAGCACATCATTAAAGGTTAGAAAGAAAAAAACACAAGTAAATGGCAATTCACAGAACATTTACTGAACATCATCTTCAGAAAAATTATTGGAAAAATGAACAGTAGTTGTTTCTATCACAGAAAACATAAACTATGCCTAATTTAAGTGAATAGGATATAATATCTACAGAAATAGTAAGACATTCAAAGTATTTGGATTCATAAATATATCCTGTAAACATACTACTACATGAAAACATAAAAAATTAATGGAATGTTACCTGCAAGAAATTAGTAATTGGAAAGGGAAAAACAAAATGAGGCTATCAGTACCACCAGCTAGATGTGGTGAGTGTGTTTTCAGTGAAACCTTCTCAGAAGTTAGGGAGAAGCACATCACCCATGCCTGAGTCTGAAATCATCATGAGCAAGCTTGTGAGACCCTATGATCAGAATCACAAAATAAACAGAAAAATGTTTAGAAATAAATATTGTGAAACTGTAAAATGTATACGCTTAAACAGCAAATCATTTCCATAGTCAGGTGATGGTGGTGTATGCCTTTAATCCCAGCACTTGGGAGGCAGAGGCAGGCAGATTTCCCTATGTTTGAGGCCAGCCTGTTCTACAAGTCCTAGATCCAGGACAGGTTCCAAAGCTACAGAGAAAACCTGTCTTAAAAAACAAAAAAATAAAAAAATAAGTAAATCATTTTTATATGATCAGTAACATTTACATATGGTTTAGAAAGGTCCAAATTCCTAAACAAGTAGTTTCATTAGTATCATAACTGCAATATTCACAGGCAATATAGAGATTACAAACAGTGGGCATACAGACCTCCATATGTGCCATTCTTTTTTGTAATGATCAACATTTTTATAAAATTTGCATAAAACCACAAGAAATCCAGTATTGATGAAACTGTCCTGAGAAT